AAGAGAAGAAAAGATGATGAATCTTGTATGTATTGATTAGAATGAAGATTCGGATACAAGATTCACACACACTAACACGCACTCTCTTTTTCTCTCTCTCTAGAACACCTTCAAATGCACACACTTAAGCTCCTCTATTATGTTCATCAATCTATTCCTCACACCCCTCACCCCTATATATATATATATATATATATATATATATATATATATATATATATATATATATATATATATATATATATCTATATATATATATATATATATATATATATATACATGAGAAACATGGGCCGTAAATGGGTTTACGGCCGTAAATGGGTTTACGGTCGTAAACACCCATTGGGCTGTAAACAGGGTTTACGGCCGTAAACACTGACCGTAAACACATATATGGCCGTAAACACTAAGCTGTTTACAGTTCTAGACATAAAAATACATTTTCCTAGAAAATCAAAGTATAAACCATATCTTTGACCCAACAGTTGTTCTTGAGCATACTCAAGTACCAAGACATTTTTACTTGCTCCGAGGATGCATACTCGGGGAAGAACAAGGCTCTCTCTATGAACTTCTTGGTGATCTCTGTCACCGACTCAGTTGTCTGTTTAAGGGAAAGGTATTCTTGGGCCAACTGCTCCCTTTCCACCAATGGAACATACTCCTTTCTGAACTTATCAACAAATTGTTCCTATGTCACCGCGCTCTTCTCCGCCGGTCAGTAATCTTTTGTGACAAAGTCTGATACCAACTTGTAATGTCCCGAAATTTAAGGCAAATTTTTTTCATTTTTATTTATTTAAAATATGTCTTAAAACATTACAAAATATCAACGGATGTCTTATAAAACTTTATTGATGCTTCGACGTAGATACAGTCCTGTGTGAGTCTTTTCATGATCAAATGAACAACCTATAAAGTGATTATTCCACAACTGTAAGTCGAGGGTTAGTGAATTCCCTCAAAATATTCCACACCACAACATATATACAATTAAGCACTAATGTCATAAAAGGAACTTGTCCCCCATGCCTTTAAGAACTAGCCATGTTTTTTATTATACAAATTAAATGGTCATACTTCTTTTATTCTTTCTTATAAAGATATAAAAGAAGAAAAAACTTTATAAATTTTGTGAACTTCTTTTATAAAATATAAACTTTGGCTTTTGGCTAAAAGACAAAAGTATTTCTAGTCCAAAATAATGTATATGACTTAATAAATCATAACATATGATATATTATATTACTTGCTAATGAAAAAATTATTATTTCAAAAAAAAATAACTTTCAATTAATTATAAAAATTTATTGAATATTTATTAAAATCAATTTCTAATAAATAATCAATTGTATCATGTTTTTGTTAGTGTGATCCATTAGTATCATACATTAATTAGCAATATCATTTTAATATGATTCTTGAGCATACAAGATCTTTCATCTACTTAATTCATTAATTACTAATAAATTAACAAACTAGATCCCTAATTCACTCTCATGTCAATCATTGCTTAAATTTGTCCTTACATGTAACCCAAAAGGACTTTTCCATTGATTTCAATATTACCAATTGTTATGATTGTGGGCATATTTCCAACATGTATTAGAATCTAGTGAATAACGAATATGAATGAGCTACCCACAGTACATAATAGTTTATGGGAATGAATATTGATAACACATAATAGTGGTATAAAAATATTGTTACTTATACCAATGGATAGTATAGCCGAAGCAGTGATCGAATCCACAGAGACAAAGAAATTGTGCAAAATACCTCTTTGTACAAAGTATATTGACTTGACACGAAAATAACAATAACTAAAATACAAAACTTACTTTTTTAATTAGCTAAAATAAAAACAAAACAAATGAAAGCGTAAATGAAAGCAAAAAAATGAGATTTTTAAGAAAAAATAGGCTTAAGAAAATTTGGTTTCGTATTCTATTCAACTATATGCAATTGACTATGAATTTATGTTTATACCACTTTTAACCTAAGTTAGTACTAAGCAATACTAAAAAGCTCTGATATCATGTTATTTGTTAAATTGTCTAATTAAAACAAGTTTTTTAACTAGACCTAACAATACTCAATACTCAATACTCAATACTTCTCATAAGCTTTGAAGTATAAAGGTATGTGATTTTACGCTATTATTTGTGTTTATTCATTAGATAATAATGGCTTTCATAAATTAACTAACTTTATTAAATCTAAACTAGTTCATGTGGCGTTCATGAAAAGAGAATAACTTCAAACACTTTATTGAAACCAAAACATAATTTACTAGGTAAAAATCAAATCTAAAACATTAGTCTGATAGTATCAATTGCAAAAAGTCGAAATTTGAACTTAGAACCCGAAAAGTAAGTCTTTTAGTCATTCATAGCTAAAAACAAGAGTTCAAAAATGCAAATTACCCAACTGCTTCTATCAATTAAATTATTAATTACCCAATTGTTCCTCTAATTGATGTTTTTTGGTGTTTCATTGCTCCAAAATTTTCCTCATGCTACTCTAGGTCGAGAATTGTCAAGATAATGAGTTAAGGTATGTTTATATAAGTTTCAAGAAGCATGAGGGCCAAGCTACCTTTGGCTCGACCGAGTCAAGTTAGAGGGCAAATATAACTTGACCGAGTCAAATTCTCGAGACCCAAAACAGTGTTTTTTGACGAACTCCACCGAGTCAAAGTGTAGGAATTGTGTGCCTCGACTGTGTAATCTTTTGTAAAGGTCTGAATCTTTGAAAATTTTAACCATTGTATATCAGCTTTGATCTTGATGATATTTGAACCACATCTCCCCAAGAACATCTTAAGAGTGTTTCAAGCTTCAAAGCACCTGAAAACCAACCATAATGTGTGCAACTCAAAAGGTTCCATCAATTTACATAGTCCCAAAACGTGTAAAATACATGGGATTTAAAGCCTAAATGTTATGTAAATACTTGGACTAGGGACTAAAGAATATGCACAAATGCATCTAACAAACCCTACATAGTAATGTGTAGGGAATAGTATTTTTGAAGGATGATTATCCAATGATTGAAGGCAGTTAATCTAAAAAGGTGTTTAACGGAAAAGTTGAACATGCTAACACTTGTAAATGTTACTAAAGGGTGTTATGTTAATATTTCATTATTAGATTATGTTGGTCTATTATTGTTATGGATATGGTACTTACGGTATGCATAATTTTTTAAGTTAGAAGACACATGTTTTGTATCTTTTGTTGTTTAATGATGTAACACCTAACTATGCCAATATATAATTTTGTTGTGCTTTGTCGTCGCATGTATGATATATAATATTAAATTACACCAACTCACTTAAATGATGTTTTAAAAATAAAATATTTAGATGTACGTTGTATTAAATTTAGGGTTTTGAACCTCATCATTCACAAAGCCCTATTTTACTTCCTCGTTATTAATCCTCATGCAAGGACCCTCATTGCAAGTCTATAGGCTCCGTTTAAAGTTACACATTCATATCCCTCACAATTGGCATAGTCTCACTAAATAATAAATATATAAATAGCTTCCATATTACTCTGGAAAATCTCCATCATTGCTTCATTGAGACGCATGTGAGGTTTTGGGTAAATAGGAGGGGGGATTGTGTAACTATAAAATTGTAAGGAGCAAACATGCAAATTCACAAAATTCATATGGCGAAAGCGTGAAAGTCAAAAGAAAATCAAAACATGGCAATATATTGTGGAGGAGTACGGGGGCATAATCTGCAAACTTTCTGTTATATAGGGACTATTTTAGTAATTTTTAAACACATAGACCATTTATGTAAAAAAAAAATATACACAAGGACCTTTTTTCTAAATTACGGGAACCATTTTTGTAATTTAATTTTTACATATAGGCTAACCTGCCAACATACAAAAATTTAAACATATGGACAACTTTTGTAAAAAATAACTTTATAGAGACCTTTTCTATACATCACAAAATTACAAGGACTAAATACGATAAAGTCCAAAACCTTTGTGGCAAAAATTAAAAACTAAAAGCGTGTATGGCAAAAGTCCAAAACCAAGAAAAGAGTGGCAAAACTTTAAAAGTAAAAACATTATGGCAAAAGTTCAAAACCAAGAAATGTTACTATTCAAAGCAACTTTCAAATTACTATTCAAACCAATAAATGTTACTAACTGAAGTTTATTTATGTTCTCTCAGATTTTGTAGTTTGTAGAGTCCATTTCCCCTTCTCTCGTGTCCAAATAAAATATAATCTTGTTGTACACCATAGCCTTAGCTTTAACCATCGCTTTCTTCGCATCTTGATTTTCCTACGAGTATTTTTCTTCCCTGTGTCTCATTCCCTTTCCTCTTTACACTCTAAAACCCCTTAAAGTGAGTATGCTTAACCTTAGTCGTAGCTTACTTCCTCACTCAACCACCACGATTCTATATGATCTTTGGCCTTTCGAATCGACATCCCAAGTTTGTCTTTAGCCACCTCCAAATGAAACAATCACATTAAGATGGATACGTGATCAGATGAATACAAATCATATCATTGAAAAATATGTAGGAAGTGTCAAGATGGTTGCAATATACAAGGTGTGAAAGTACATTACCTTAATGGACAACAATGAAAGTACATTGCTCAAATGCTAGATGATTTCAGTATAAAGTAAGCATGAGTACCTTATGCAATTGTCAGTGTTTAGGAGTATAAATGTATCCCAAAATGATACAAATATAGTCGAAAATGTTAATCAAGTACAAAGAATGATGATATGAAACAAATTATCCAACGTTGCAGAATCACACGACCTATATACTTAATATTTGGAGTAGGCATGTATAACAACCTCAATTTTGGATTTATCCGTAATGATATTAGAAGATAAATGATATATAAAAAATATATTTGTTAAATTAACAAATTTAATTGGTAAAAATAATTGGAAATGAGATTTTTAATACGGGCGCACAACAACAACGAATCATATCAACTTTCTATATATTTTTCACTTCCAAAGCTTAATGATCTTATCATGGCTAGCAGAAGCTACCAAACCCGTAGCTGTTGACATTGCCAAACTAGCAATTAATCCTTCATGGGCCGACAATGTCATTGTCTTGTTCTGTGACATGTTCCAAAGCTCCAAAGACATTGTCTTGTTCTGTGACATGTTCCAAAGCTCCAAAGACTGCATCAAATGCATGATAATCCATTATTAGAATCAAAGTGGGGGAGAATCGTCCAGGAAATCACTAGAGAAAATAACTTGATGGCTGAATTGATAGTTTTGTAGCCGAATCAATAAAATGATATAAGTGTAATGTTTTTCTGTAATCTGCCTAGCTATCTAGACTGGGTTACAAGAAGAGATATATTTTTAAACTATCAAAAATGGTATGACAACTTAATCACAAGTTAAGCAGCCGAATCGATAAAATTATGAAAGTACAAATACTTTTGATTACCTTGTTTGACAATTAATATGTTAAAAATGATCACTACAATTATATCATTAAACTAATATCTGATTTTTTTTATAAGATGACTTAACAAGTTGTAAGCTAACCTGGTAACAGCCGATGACCAATAAGGAAGCATAACTGCCATGAAAAACACAAAAATGAAACTTATTTCCATTACAGCTGAGATCATGTATACACTCTCCTTCATTTCCAGCCATAAAAGACCAAACTCTCACCGAGTCTTGACTAACAGACACCAAATACTCGCCATTTGGATCCAAGCAAACCGAATGAATCAGTTCTCTATGCCCCTACAAATGCAAAATCCCAACCAATATACATCATGATCATTGATGTAAAATGAAGAAAATGAAAACTTACTTTTATTCATTTGTGTATCATAGCATTCTACTTACCATTCTTTTTTCAATTGTTTTCTTATTAATTAAACCGTTGTACTTCGAAAAAAGGCATTGTATTTTTAAATGACTACCCAATTATAGCATTGTACTTGAACTTTTTATTTCATATTAGAACATTATACATTGAAAAAAAATATACCCAACTGTGGTAGTGAAAATTGCTCTATAGATTTTTCAAAATACAACGCTGTAACAGGAAAAAGTGAAAGTAGGATGCTATCATGCTATAATAAACAAATCAATGGAAGTAAGTTACTATTTCTTGCATTTAAGCGTAAAGAAAATATAAAAATAGGCAAGGATAAATGAGTATAAAAAAAACATGTAACAAATGTTGAATCGCTTGTGTCTCAGTATCAAGACAACAATTCTTGCAGCTGCATCGAGATATCTTCCATGGTTCGGCTGGAATCTCACTAGAGGCGTAAGTCCCGTCCCACTCTGATCCATGAAATACAATTAATATTTTTATCAAAGTAAAAAAAACATAATGTACTTTCACCATTTTATCAATTTAGTCAGGAAACTATTATTATAATAATCATAAAAATAAATTTATAGTTCAACGGGATAAAACACAATGTGCTTTTCTATATTTTAACCTTTTTAAAAACCAGTTAACCAAAACGATGGTTCTTTTAAACGGTCAAAAATAAGATAGGTATAATATTACAGAAAATAGTTAAATAGCTAAAGCAATAAAATCCCAGAAAATTACTATTGTGATGGTTATGAGTTTTTTTTTTACCTTGAATACACATGAACAACTGCCATTATTTATGCTCCAATATCTTATTTCGCCATCCCCATCACATGAGCAGATGAGGTCATCTTTATTCGGGTGGAAGTCTAATGACATCACCGATGCAGAATGCCCAATAAATGTACGTAGTGAAAAACCAGGCTGTAATTTAAACTAAAAATAAATATATGTGTTTTTCTATATTTTGAATGAGTATAAAAAAGGTGAAGTAACTAACATTATCAGCATCCCAAACACAGACAGTTTTATCAAAAGATGAGGTGGCAAGGCGTGGCATGCTTGGGCTGAATCTCACATCCGTGATCAATGATGAATGTTCTTCGAGAGTTGTCTTTGGCTTTAATGAATCTGTGTACCAAAATATGGCCTGCATGACAATCATGACATGGCCTATTAATTTCTTTCACACCATTTCAAGTATCACTTTTTTCTTATTAAGGCATTGTATGTTGAAAATATAACTAATTATGGCATTCTACTATCAGTTTCTTTGTTATTAGGACATTACACTTTGAAAAATCAATCCAATGAAACACTATTTCTATAATTTGATGGAACTTTTAACTTACCATTTTCTTATAGGAAGAAATGGAATTAGAACGCTATAAGTTTCAACAGATCTCATTATGTTGGGTTAATCGATTTGTGCATGGTTGAAACTTTGGTTATAAGTTTAATGCATTGTGGATGCCCTTACGTAAGTCCCTTCATGCTTATTATTTACTACAATCAATTTTGGTATTTTCCTTTTCATCATGGCCACCACTCGCAAGAAGTTTACCATCTGGGGAAAAGTGACAACAGATCACCTTTCTTGCACTTGCACGAACAGAATTGACTTCTGCAAATGTGAACTCTAACAACACAAAAAAAAGATGAGAACTTAACACGAAAAAAAATGTCAACCGCTATATTTTTCTATAACAAGGCCATGTTTCTTTTTTGATAAAGTGTTGCTTAAACATTATTTGAGAAAAGGACGACACACTTGGAGAAATGGAAGGAAAAAGTAAATAAGGACAAATTTGTGAAAAGTTAAGGAGTTAATGAGGAAACCCCTATTTCTTCGACTTTTTCTTTTAAACCATTATTTATTTATTTCTATATTAAGTAAAAAAACTATAGAAAACGTATACCACATGACTCACCTTTGCTAACATCCATAGAACTACCAACTGCATCCCTTGGATCCGTATCATCATGAAATAAAAAAGACTCAACATTATCATCAAGAGATCCATCCTCCACAAAATGATCGGTGTCAGCCTTCACAATGTCCTTATCACCACACTGCAAAATTTATATTTCCAATAAGAACTAAGAGGCTTCTTCACCTTAAGTAACTATTGCAATTTTTATGAAAGTTTTTTCATGACAGGATATATGCAGTTTTTTTTCATTTTCTTCAGTTTTTCTTATAAAAGAAGAGAAAGAACAGAAGTTACTTGATAGTCGAAGGCAATTTCAAGTTCTGTCACAACATCCTCCATTAATGGATGTTTTCCACTGTCATTCTTTAAACATTGATAAGCAATAGCTGAAAACACCTCCAAAGAAGTAGGATGTATTTCATCCTTTATATTACCCCCAAACAATTTCATTTAGGTTCTTCTATGTGTAAAGCTTGTTAGTCTATATATTATTAGCCCCGCTTGTTTATGGGCCCTTTTTGTCTTTAGCCCATTAGGGTTTCTATCTAGCTAGTATTTATATCCGCTTTATTCCTTGTAGTCTTTATGCTTTTCTCTGAGAACCCTTGTAATTTCTCTTTGATATAATCATATGACAATGTTATCATGGTATCAGAGCAGAGGTTTGATACGTTGTTAGAAGTCTTTGTAGCAGTCATCTGTGGCGCGGATCGAAATTTTCTAGGGTTACTGTAGCATGCCGTTTTCGTTCATTATCACTGGTATTCGTTTTTTTTATGTGTTGATTCGTTGCTACTGTTGATTCGTTGCTGCTGTCGGTTCGTTGCTACTGTTGGTTCGTTGCTGCTGTTGGTTCATAATTGCTGTTGATTCGTTATTCAAGTGATAGCTTCCGTTGGTTTGTTACTCCTTTCATTCTCAGATTGTTATATTGTCATTGTGGTTATTCATTCACTATCAACATTACTGGAAAGGATGATTCCCTTCAGTCAATCAGTACTCGTTTAGATGGAAAGAATTATACGTATTGGAGTTACGTTATGAAGAACTTCCTTCGTGGGAAGAATATGTGGGGCTATGTCACTGGGACTAAAGCCAAACCCTCAGTGCCTCAAACTGAGAATTATGATATGTTTCTTGATGCTTGGGAGACTGATAACTCCAAGGTTATTACTTAGATCAATAACTCTGTTACTCAGTCCATTGGTATACAGTTGGCTAAGTATGACACAGCAAAGGAAGTTTGGAATCACTTGGAGAGACTGTATACTCAGTCCAATTTTGCTAAACAATACCAATTGGAATATGATATTCGTGCCCTTCAACAGAATGACCAGAGCATTGAAGATTTCTATGCTGCTAAGTCTGATCTCTGGGATCAATTGGCTCTTACTGAATCTAAAGAGTTAAAAGATTTTGAGCCTTACATTGCTAGGAGGGAAGAACAACGCTTGGTTCAGTTCTTGATGGCCTTGTGTTCTGGTTTTAAAGGTCTTCGTGGAACAATTCTTCATCGCTCTCCTCTTCCTTCAGTTGATTCAGTTGTCCATGAGTTAACTGCAGAAGATACTCGTATCAAGTCCCATGCAGATAAAGGGTTTAAAGCAACCTCTACTCCTACTCCCGCTCCTGCTGTGTTTGCTGTCTCCTCCAGTCAATCTCGACAAACTTCAAGAGTCGCTTATGATGAGTGTGCATTCTGCAAACAGAAGAATCATTGGAAAGCTCAGTGTCCATTGTTAGTCAACAAGGGTAAATCTGGTCAACCTCAGTCAGGGCAACAAAATAGGTCTGGTCAACAGAAGTTTCAGTCGCGTTCCTCTGGTACTCCTCCATGGACCCCTCGTCCTCCACAGTTTGTTGTTGCTGCTGTTCCACCAGTTGACACAGAATCTGTTGGACATATGCCACCATCTGCATTGGATCCCAAGGTGTTTGAGAGCTTTAGACAGTATTTGGCTTCTAATCCCACTGCCATGTCTGCATCTATGTCTCATTCTGGTCCTTCTTCATCTGGCACTTCAGGTATTCCCTCATCTTTGTGGATTTTAGATTCTGGTGCAACCCATCATATGACTCCTCATTTGTCATCATTTACTTCTTTGTCGCAAGTGTCATCTATTTCTGTTAAGTCTGCTAGTGATACATCTATGCTAGTTGAGGGTGTTGGGTCTGTCTCTGTTTCTCATATCACTCTTCCTGATGTTTATTACATTCCCAAACTTACTTTGAACCTTGCCTCAGTCAGTCAGTTATGCAAGTCTGGTAACTGGGTGTTCTTTTCTGATTTTGTCTGTGTTATACAGGATCAACAGACCCAGAAGGTGATTGGGATCGGCCGTAGGGTGGGGGAACTATATGTCTTGGAGGTCCTCAAAGTATCTGTTGTTGCTGCTTCCAGCATTGATTTATCTTCTTTTCGTTTGAGTCCTTTGTCGTCTGAGTTTTATCTTTGGCATTCTCGTTTGGGACATGTGTCTGTATCACGGTTGAATTTCTTAGCATCTAGTGGTGTTTTGGGTCATTTAAACTCTTGTGATATTTCTGATTGTAGTGGTTGCAAACTAGCAAAATTTTCTGCTTTACCCTTCAATAAAAGTATGTCTTGTTCTACTGCTCCTTTTGATATTATTCATTCTGATGTGTGGGGTCCTGCACCAGTATCCACAAAGGGTGGGTCAACCTATTATGTATCTTTTATAGATGATTATACTCGATATACATGGGTTTATCTTATGAAACGCAGATCTGATTTCTTTGATATTTACAACAATTTTAGAGCTCTTGTTAAAACTCAACATTTGGCTGTGATTAAGTGCTTCAGGTGTGACTTAGGGGGTGAATATACCTCTAATGATTTCACTCAGTTACTTGCTTCTGATGGTACCATACACCAGTCTTTGTGTACTGACACACCTCAGCAAAACGGTGTGGCAGAACGGAAACATTGTCATATTGTTGAGACTGCCCGCTCATTGCTCCTGTCTGCGCAGGTTCCTAGTGCCTTTTGCGGAGAAGCAGTCCTAACTGTTGTGTATGTGATTAATCGTATCCCTACTTCATTGAATTCAGTAATATCTCCTTTTGAGAAGTTATATGGTCATCTACCAGACTACTCTTCCTTATGAGTTTTTGGATGTACTTGTTTTGTTCTTCGTCCTCATGTTGAAAGGAACAAGCTGGGGCCGAAATCTGCTATTTGTGTATTTTTGGGGTATGGTATTGGTCAGAAAGGATACCGTTGCTATGATCCTGTAAGTCAGAAGTTATATGTTTCTCGGCACGTTACTTTTTTGGAACATATTCCTTTCTACTCGATTCCTGCTACAGCCCACAATGTAACAAAGTCTGATCTTCTGCGTATTGATCCTTTTAATGAAGATATAGAGGCTCAACACTCATCTATGCCACATGATCCCTCAGCACATTACACGCCCACTTCTTCAGAGGGTGCCTCGACTCCACCTGTTCCTGAGCCTGATCCTCCGATTATTGAAGTTGAGGATCCACCTCCACCACCACCCCTCAGGAGATCTTCTCGTCCTGTCAAGTCCACCAAGCTTCCAGATTTTTCTTACTATACATATTCAGGACCGTTTGCTTCATTTATAGCAAGCATCCATCATCTGTCTGAACCTGAATCATATAGAGAAGCTGTTTCAGATCCTCTTTGGTAGAATGCTATGGCTGAAGAACTCACTACTCTTCATCAGACTCATACATGGGATTTGGTTTCTCTTCCTCCTGGGAAACATACGATAGGTTGTCGTTGGGTGTACAAGATAAAAACAAAAGCTGATGGCTCTGTTGAACGATATAAGGCTATACTTGTAGCAAAAGGGTATTCCCAACAGTATGGTTTTGACTACGATGAGACATTTGCCCCAGTTGCAAAAATGACGACAGTTCGTACTATGATTGCAGTTGCATCCGTTCGACAGTGGAAGATCTTTCAAATGGATGTCAAGAATGCCTTTTTGAATGGTGACCTTCATGAAGAGGTTTATATGACCCCTCCTCCAGGAATTCAGCACCGACCGGGCGAGGTTTGTCGGCTTCGCAAAGCTTTGTATGGGCTCAAGCAAGCCCCTCGTGCTTGGTTTGAGAAATTCTCCACAGTGATAACCTCTCTTGGATTTGTCCAGAGTAATCACGATTCTGCTCTATTTGTTAGATGCTCGAGTGCAGGACGGATTCTTCTGTCCTTATATGTGGATGACATGATTTTTACAGGTGATGACCATGGTGGTATTGAGTCTTTGAAGCATGATCTAGCTCGTCGATTTACTATGAAGGATTTGGGCTTGCTGCGTTATTTATTGGGTATTGAGGTCGCTCAGTCTAAGAAAGGGTACCTTCTTTCCCAGACTAAATATATATCTGACTTGTTTACACGGGCGGGACTTTCTGACAATCGGACTGTTGATACCCCTCTTGAAACCAATGCACGATACTCTCATACTGATGGTGTTCCTCTGTCTGATCCGAATCTTTATCGTACTGTGGTGGGAAGTTTGGTTTATCTCACAGTCACTCGTCCAGATATTGCTCATGATGTTCATATTGTCAGTCAGGTTGTTACTGCACCTACCTCTGTTCATTGGGGAGCTGTTCTTCGTATTCTGAGATATCTTCGTGGCACTCAGTTTCAGACTTTCTTGTTTCCCTCGACGTCTTCTCTTGAGTTACGTGCCTATAGTGATGCAGATTGGGATGGTGATCGTCATGATCGTAAGTCTACCACTGGATTTTGTGTATTTCTTGGAGAGTCTCTTATTTAATGGAAAAGCAAGAAACAGGATGTTGTCTCTAGATCTTCCACGAAGGTTGAATATCGTGCTATGGTTGTAACTACATGCGAGATTATCTGGTTACGGTGGCTGCTTGCGGATATGGGAGTTTACATTTCTTCACCTACTCCCTTGAATTGTGATAATAAAAGTGCGATACAAATTGCGAAGAATTCTGTTTTTCATGAGCGGACGAAGCACATTGATATTGATTGTCATTTTACTCGTCATCACCTGCAGCTTGGGACCATTTCGCTTCCATTTGTTTCATCAACCTTGCAGCTTGCGAATATTTTTACGAAGGCTTTATCGGCTTCTCGGTTTCGGTTCTTATGTGACAAACTCTCAATGCTTATTGCTGCGGCATTGTGAGTTTGAGAGGGGGATGTTAGTCTATATATTATTAGCCCGCTTGTTTATGGGCCCTTTTTGTATTTAGCCCATTAGGGTTTCTGTCTAGCTAGTATTTATATCCGTTTTATTCCTTGTAGTCTTTATGATTTTCTCTGAGAACCCTTGTAATTTCTCTTTGATATAATCATATGACAATGTTATCAAAGCTTTCGTACGAATTGAGTAAAAGATTGAGGCTTATCATAGCTCTCAAAACACAATCTCCCACACAAAACTTCAAACAAGACCACACCAAACGAGTAAACG